TATAGTGTATTAAAAGGACATTACCTGTGCAAACAATGGCGACTATAAAAACAAATATGGAAAGTTTAGATCAAATGAATTATGGTTTAATACTAAAAAGTTAATAATTTATCAATATATGGGTTTTCATTTATACGTTATTTTGGACCACGACTAGCCTTTAACTTTATATTTATTGAAAACTTTTTAAAAGTCATTGCTCTGTACAAAAATCTTTTTTTAGCAGAGATTAAATTGCTTTTAAAATTTTTATATCAATTGTGATTTATTTTTCTTCGTAATAAATTCAGTAAATCTGAGCACCTTAAATTATAGGACAAATTAATATGATTGTTAGTTGACAAAAAAAGAAAAAAACTACTTAGCTTAAAAAATGGAAGTCTTAAATTTATTATTCGTATAATGATCAGAATTTACATCCAAGTTAAAGAAATACCTGTTTTTCAACTTCAGGTTTAAAATTTTGAAGAATTTTATTTTTGACAATATTAATCAAAATTCTCCTTTTTAATTCTTTAGGATTTTCTGATCCACAATCTATTTCAACATTAAAAATATTTTTCTCTTGGTTTACGACAATTTGACGTAAAAATCCCTCAATATTATAAGTATAGCTAGTATCATACTGATTATTCATTTTTACAATTTACTTCAATACAAAACGCTCCTTTATTTCAACATTTTTTAAATAAATAAATTCTCTTTTTTCTTCCCAATCATCTTTGATCTTTACTTTAATATTAATTTTTCTTCCATCACATTTAATAAACAATAGAGAGAATAAATAAAAGTAAATAACAATAATTAATTTAATCATCTGAATTTTAATAATAAAATATACTTATTCGTTATTAAAGTCCTTAATTTAATGAAAACGAACGTTTAATTACACAAATAAATGTTCCACGACTTCAGTAATTTAGTTCAAATAAATTTATTAAAAATACTCCTAGTCAGTGTTATTTCTGATAAAGTTTTTTATATGGTATTAAAATATATTCTTTTTTTCAATCAAGGGAGGAATCGATTGGTTATGTTTCGAATCTGTTTCGAATGCCACGTACCATAGTTAGACAAGTACTTTAATATTTGTTAAAGATTGGCGTTTCATATGCTATAATAGAAAAATTTCGGTTGCTAACCAAAAAAAATTTTCGGTTTGTTAAAAAAATTTTGGTTTGCTAACCAAATTTCGGTTGGTAACCCACGGATAGTGGAATAAAAGGTGAATATACTCAAATCTTATTGCCTTATCAAGATAGTAATAATAAAATAAAATATAAGAAAGATGTTTTTATAATGCTACGGTTACATAAAAATCGCGCGCGTCTTGAGACAGACGCTCGGCGACAAGACGCGCGCGACAGTCGCTAGTGGTGTGGTTACATAAAATCGGCGTCTTCCGCAAAAGCGACTGTCGCAAAGCGACAAACGCTGATTTTATGTAGAGATCGGCTCGATACGATTTTTCATCGATAATTATCGATATTTTTCGATATTTTTTTTCGATATTATCGAAAAAATATCGACCGACAAAATTTTGACTTTTTCGATATTTTTCGGTATTCGATATTTTTTCGATATTTATCGAAAAATATCGACCGACAAAATTTAAAAATCGAAACAATCGACCGACCAAATTACAAAAAATCGAAAAAAATATCGAACGTCATTTTTGACAAAAATTTGAATTTTTGGCGCCAAAAAAATCATGCCCATCAGAAATTCAAAAAATTTTCGCCTGCGGCGCAAGAAAGGAGAAAGGTTTCTTCTATATTCACGATTTAGTTTGCCAAAGCGAGACGAGAGTGTGATAATATACAGTGATGTCCTCAACAAATCCCTTGAAATCCCAGAGACACCGCTAAACTCTCCGATATTTTTCGAATCCAACTTAATCCCTGTGAATCCCCCGATATCCCCCTTCATCCACTATTGATCCGAAAATGAAAATATTATATAACTAACAAAGGATTAAGTGGATAAAATGGATCTCGAGGGATCAAGACGACTTGGGAGAGATAGATATCAAAACGGATATTAAATCCAAGATTTTTTATCCTCTGATATTTCGTTATCCGCCGATATCCCTCTTAATCCACAAATTCCTTGATATCCCTCCTGATCTCACAAATCCACAATACAGTCTTAATACCTTTAAATCTCTCGATACACACTCAGTCCTTCAATATCACTTTTAATTCGTTAAAATTCATTATCCCTAGTTAAAAACCACTTATATCCCACTTGATCCTTCGATATCAAATACAAGTCCATTGATTTTACATTTATTCGTCCAAATCCACCAATATCCCATTTAATCAATCTTAATCTCATTAAACTATTAGGTCTATTCTGTTATACATTGGTTATAGAAAAATTTTTGAAAAATCGAAAAATATCGAGACTTTTTTTTCGATATTTTTCGGTTTCGATATTTTTCGATATTTATCGAAAAAATATCGACCGAGAAAATTTTGATTTTTTCGATATTTTTCGATATTCGATATTTTTCGATATTTATCGAAAAATATCGACCGACCTCTTCGGCCGATCTCTAATTTTATGTAACCACGCCACTAGCGACTGTCGCGCGCGTCTTGTCGCCGAGCGTCTGTCTCAAGACGCGCGCGATTTTATGTAACCACTAAATCCGATTAAAAATTTTTTTTAAATATTTATCATACTAAAATAAAATTTATAAAATCAAATCATTTTATTCTGCCATGGTACCGATCAGGGGGGTATGATGTTATAATGCCAAAAGCTTGTAATGCCAAAGCTTGTAATGCCAAAAGCTTGTAATGCCAAAGCTTGTAATGCAAAAAGCTTGTAATGCCAAACCCCCAAAAGCTGTTGAAATGCCAAACCGTGGAAAATAGCTTGTAATGCCAAACTCCCAAAATATGTTGAAATGCCAAACCGTGGAAAAAAGCTTCAAATGCCAAATAAATACAAAACTAGAAATTTTTTTGTTATTTCTGATAGAATTTGTTGTTAAAATTTTTTGTTTGTTCCAACAACAAGGATGTTGTTGTTCCAATTGAATTTTCGCTGGAAAAACTCTAGGCCGGGCATGCGGGGAGGGGCCGGCACTACGGGGAATGTTGTTCAAATTGTGGGGAAAATTGTTCCAACGGTTGGGGGAGTTGTTCCGACTATAGGGAAAGTTGTTCCAACGACGGGGGATGTTGTTCAAATGACGGGGACGTTTGTTCCAGTGATGGGGGAAGTGTGATGTTGATCCCCCGTTGACGGACCAACTTCCCCCGTTGACGGATCAACTTCCCCCGTCATTGGAACAACTTCCCCCATCATCGGAACAACAACACGGGATTAATCCCGCGGGATCCTGTCTTGGAACAAGTCCTGTCTTGGAACTAACTTGGAACAAGTTCTAGAACTGGAACTAAGGAATTTTAAAAATGGAGTTCCGAAACTGGAACTACAAAAATAAAAAACCTAGTTCTGGAACTGGAACTAGTTCCAGAGAAATTTTGGAACCTTCCCATCACTGATCGTCAACTTAGTCATGTTTATTAGTCTCAAAAAGTCTTAAAGCCTCGATTTTCCCCAAAATTTTTTGTCCCTAACTATATGGGACGAGCCCTACTTATCAAGAAATGGTCACTTTTTCATGTTTTTGGTATCATTTGATAGAGAATCAAAAGCTCTACAACATATCAAAAAATCAGAATTTTTGACCGATTGATAAAAAAGTTATGATACTGAGAATCTCAAAAATATCGAAAAAAAAGAATATTTTTTTGCAAAAAGTATACCTTTTTCAAAATCAATTTTAACCCATAAGATTTAACTTTAAAAATATAAAATTTATATTGATCGATAGAGAATAAACTGAACTTTCAGAATCTTTTTAAATTTTGAAAATCGGATCAGAATTGGCCGAGAAATGATCAAGACGCTAAAAGTTGTCGCCAAAAATTCAAACATGTTTGAATTAAAAAAAGTGTCGCCGGCGACAAGACGCCGGCGGAAGACGCATTTTATGTAACCACTAGAAAAAAGCGACAAGACGCCGGCGTCTTGTCGCTGGCGGAAGACGCGGTTTATGTAACCACTCGAAAAAAGCGACAAGACGCCGGCGACAAGACGCCGGCGGAAGACGTATTTTATGTAACCACTAGAAAAAAGAGACAAAATTTTTTTCCTCTTTTCTCTCCTCTTTTTACATTATCTTTTCTGTCGCAAGACGCGCGCGATTTTTATGTAACCGTAGCATAACCGAAACACGGACTTAATCACAATAAGTTTTTATACTAAGCCATTGCCCAAACAATATCTAAGTTGTTCACGCTATTTTTATGGTTAAAATCCTGCTCCAAACAAATTACAAATATTAGAAAATTTATATATTTGTTAACCATTTTAGAAACATTTAACATTTTTTATATGAAAGTGAAACTCGATAAAACATTGAGAAAGAAATGTAAATTTCGAAATTTTAAATAAATGTAAAGGGCGTAGAGGAGGTGAATATCAAAATAGTCGACTGATTTTATTGACAAATTATCGGGAGTACAAGCATCGATTAAAAGTGCATGAATAAAAATACAGGGTAACTTCGATCAAAAATATTCTACGGATTTAAAATAAATATGATAAAATAGAGAACTAAATAGGGAATAAATTTTAATAGATTTTCAGAAGATTCCACCCTTCTGCGTTGATACAGGGTCAACCCCCCGAATTTCTGACTTGTTAAAGTAATATTTCATTCGGCAACTTATTTTAGTATGTATTATTCTTCTTGAAAGAGTTTATCGGTCTTCTATTTTTCTTTTTTTGTTGTAAAAAGTACATTAGACATATTCGGGAAAAATAATTACAATATTTTATTAAAATATGTTTAAGATCCTCATCATTTTAATTCAGTAAACAAACAGATTCTTTCAAAATTGTTAAAGTACTTTATCATTTTTATTTGATAAACATTAAAGAAATTTAAAATATACCGCTTTATTATTTATTTATTTTTTACTTAGGCGAACTTTCGAAATTAATAATTGCACTTTAAGTGTATTGCCATGGGTATTTATTATTCGATAATTTGTGCTTTGATTGATGTGCGCATCTATGTGTATTTCTTTAATACCTAAAATTTTACCTTATGTATTTTTAAATGCAATGAAAATTTTAAAAAACTTATTTTTGTTATTCATAAAAATTATATACCCGAACCCACAACTCAAGTTTACATTTAGGGGCGGAATTTTCTTCTCTGAACTACCACCCACGTTGTAATATTTTACATCCATGTTGTAAATACATTTTTTAAATTTCAGATGATTAAATTTAATTTTATTATACTCATATATTTAATTGTATTTTTGAAAATTCAATGCGCCGGGAAATTCATTCATGTTGAAGTTAAAGTCAAGGATGATTGGGAAGAAAAACGAGAATTTATTTATTTAAAAAATGTTGAATTTAAAAATCGTTTTGTGTTGAAAGTAATTGAAAAGAATAATAACCGGTTTGATGCCACTACATTAGGATCATTATTAATTTATTGATTGATTTTGCCCCGCCCCTAAAGGAACGTGCGGGGAAAATAGAAGTGTGATGACTCATCCCAAACCTTTTGTCACTGACTAAAATTCCACACGACAAAATGGTACAAGACAAAACACCACATGTCAAAAAGCCATTTTTAAAAATAATTAATTTCCCAGTGGCGGAGTCGATCCGGTGACTCCTAGCCTAAAGGCGGAGACACTAACAACTCCGCCACTGGGAAGTTAATTAACTTAACTTATATTTTAACTTAAACCCTTCAAACTAAGCGACAGGGATGGTTTAGTGCCAGGGTTGCATCATAGACAGTTCACTACCATATTTTGTCGCGACTGTTCGGTAATGGGTCAAAATGGTAAAAGTTCAAAATGCAAAAAAATATCAGACCCCTTAAAGGCAAAACTAAGGTTTCTGAAATGTATTCTGTTTTAAGAACCGATCGCTGAACTTTTGAGAATTTTAAGCTAAGCTAATTATTTACCGACTATTAAATTTCTAAACATTTATCTTCTATTTCGAAAGTTCGAAGATGTTTTTAAGTAGACTTACAAAATAGGTCGAAATATACTCGGCCTTTTTATGTAAAATGCTCGCGACAAAACGGCTCACCGCGTAAAAATATCTCAAGTGTTTTGATGACTCATCAAAAAGACTTGTGAAAATAATATTATGTAATTTTTACTTATAAAATTTTTTAATACTTAATCTTTTAAGGGATTAACCTAAATTTTTGGAATGTTAAACAATCATGTTTAACACTTATATTTTTTAATTATTTTAATTGATGGATTTCTTTAAATTGATAGACTCAATTCGTCTAATCGTTTAAGGAAAAAATATTTGGATTTTAATGCATCTAATGTATTGCTTTGTTTTAAAGGTTTTATCTTTTAATTTTATAAAATTTCTAATCTGTACAATTTAAAGAGATTAAATTAATTTAAATATTTTTTTAACTTTATTTTTTAAAGGGAAGATTAAATTTGGATAAAGGCAGTGCTTCAGCTTGAACTTCTTGTGCTGTTTAAAAAGGTTTTAAAGTGTTTTATATGAATATAGGGGATGGAGGAAGGTATTATAAGGGTTTATAGTAGTTGTTAACTTAGCCAAATAATTTGTTAGATTGAAGATCTCTGTGCCCAAAAATAAGATTGATTTTTTTGTTAGGGATCCTGGGGAAAATTAATTCTAAATATTAGTTTATTTTATTTAAAGGTGTGTTGTTATGGATGCTTGGCTATAGCATTTTGAATGTAAATATTCTGAAGAAATTACCGGGCCCGTTAAATGGCAATGGCCTAAAATTTAAAGGTTTTCTTTTTAATTTTTAAAAATAATATTTTATTAATTATTTTAAGAATTATTGCATTTACAACAACAAAATGGAGGAGAAGGGAAATCAATGTATACTTGACTGATATTGTATAACAATCTTTTTCAGGTTTTAAATTTTTTTATTGGGATTTTCTCTAGATTTTATGACGGGAAGAGAGCAAGGTTGGCTTTCCTGGGAAATATTTAGATATCAAAATCTAAGATTGATCTTTTTCGGTTCCGAATACCCTGAAACGCAAACCTTAGTGAGCTACCTTTGCTTTTTAGAAATTATGCAGAGAAGAGTTTTTTTAGACCAGTTTTTTTCAGACCACTTTCGGGGATGTGGTTCTCTAAAATTATTAAATATTTTTAGGGGTATGGCAGTTGGAGTTTTTGCTGTTGGTGGTATGATTGGAGGAAATTTGTTTGGAATTGTTGCTACAAAACTTGGACGTAAACTTGCACTTTTGTACAACAACGCTTTAGCTATAATCGCTGTGGCTTTATTGGCGGGAGCTAAATTTTGTGGGAAATTATTGGCTTTTTATTTTGGGCCGTCTTATTGTTGGAATAAATGCTGGTGAATTGAGAAAATTAAATTTCCTAAGTAGCTAAGACGTTTTGGGATTTCAGCGTAAAAATTTCGCCCATTGAGCGATGTGTTTTTGGTTTGATCTTAAGGTTGACGGATAGTGGGAAATCTCCGAATAATTTACTGATATTCGAACATTTTTCTGATCCGGGTACCGGTTCCATCAACCCTAGTTGTTGACAACAATCCTAACTCCAATCCCAAAATAAATTTTATTTTTCAAGATTTGTATATTGAGAAAAATTAGGCTAATATATTTTTGGGATCATTTTATCCAGATATTTAATCGTTTAAAATCAAAAAATTCCATCGGTGTAAAACTATTTTTTTTCCTTTTTTAGGTTTAAACTGGATTGGCACCAATGTATTTGACTGAAGTTTCGGCTGCCAACTTGCGGGGAGCTACTGGCTCGTTTGCTCAGTTGTTTGTGACTATTGCCATCCTTTTCTCTCAGATTTTTGGACTCCCGTTTTTATTGGAAACTGTTGAGAGATGCCCGTTTATATTTGCCTTTACTTTTGTACTTTTTTAAAATTCTAATCTAATCAATTATCCGTCACACCCATACGACCTCAGGGCTTTTAAAAGGTTTTACGGAAGCCGGATCTACTCAATTTTTGGTTGATTATGCTATTCTTTGAATACCAAAATTGACATTTTAGGATATTTTTACGTTTATTAAACCTTTGAAGAGGACAGGGTCCTAGTAGAGGGTGCTTCCGTTCTAATCCTTTCTATTTTCCTCTTAAATAATTTTTATTTTGATGAAAATTTAAGAATTAATTTTCCCACAAAAATCCCTTCTATTATTTATTTTTCAAAGGTGTCTGTTCTTGTTCAACTATTGTTGTTAAAGGTCAAAGAGATCAAGCAGAGACTTGAAAAAACTTCGTGAGAGTGAAAATGTTTGTTTTTAATTCTGATTATTTTGCAAAATCAGAATTTTAATTTACCTAGCCAGATTTGGAATCAGAATTCTGATTTAGTTTGATTTTATTTTGTTTTATTTTTATAGGTTCAAGCTGAACTTGACTTAATTTCTGAGGAAGCTGCAAAAGCAAATTCTGGAGCTCCTTCCTCAATGAAAGACATTTATGGTACCAAACTTCCATGGCCTTTGGTATTTGTTTTGTTTATGATGATTTCCCACCAATTGAGGTAACGATGGTGGGGGTTTTTGAGGAATTATTTTAATAAATTATTTTTTAGCAATGTTTTACTCAACTGCTATGTATTTTTAAGGGAACCGGTCTTAAAACAACAATGTGCGTTTTAAAAAAAATTTTTGCTTACGAACTATTTTGAATTTTTGTTTTAAGGGCCAAATTATGCAACAATTGCAATGGGTGCTATAAATGTTCTGATGACTGTTGTGTCTGTTTTTTGGTAAAATATTGGAAAGCTTTATGTTACTATTAGAAATTTTTAAAGGTTGAACATCCCTGCTTTGGACGTCGAACTCTTAATATTAACTGAATGTTCGGAATGTGTTTCTCAACAGCAATGATTGCTATTTCTATGCTTGTTGCTAAGGTGGAATAAAAACATTTACAAATCAGAATTAAATAAAAATCAGAATTAAAAATACATACTAGAATTTATTAAACAAAAACCAGAATTTATTGACAAAAACCAGAATTAATTTAAAACATAAACCCAAATTAAACTATTGATTTGGGGTTTTTATAAACTAAAGTCTCTTGCGCTCATCCGAGTGTTACATTCCACATTCCAAACTTTTTCAAAACAAAAAAATTTTTTCTAATGAAAGAAAACATTAGATTAAATCTGTAAAAACAAAAATTTCTCTTCCTAATTTACCACAAATCATTCTTATTTTTGTAATAAAATTTTTTAGTAAATAAAATCATTTACTTATTTACTTAAACATTTTTATTTGAGAAATTTTTTTACCTATATTAATTAATTTAAATTTAATTTTTTAAAATTCTATATTATTTTTTCAAAAAAAATTTTTTCAAAGGTTGAAAGATGCCACGCACTAATTCTTCAAGTTCTAATAATCAGAACAGACGCCGGCCAAATCCCTCATCTAGCCCTGGCCCCCCGGCACGTCGAGGTCGAATAATTGAATCTACAACACCATCACCGGGGCCAATAATTCCTGCCGACCAACAACTAATAGAAAATTATTTAAATAATCAGCTCCGTCTGCCGGCAAACACAAATGTAAAGTTTTCCATTATTAATTTAAAAATATATAAACACATCTAATTTAAAAAAAATTATTTAAAAATTTCAAATTAATTTTTAAGGTAACTCAAGCAATCTCTTCTAATACAACTTCAACTACTACAACTAATCAGCGCCAAGTAAATTTTTTAAATAAATTTTTTTAAATTTAAGACAAACTAGTTTTAGTATAAAAAATAATAATACAAAATCATTAACTCTAGAGCCTTTATTAGTTTAAAAATATATAAACACATCTAATTTTAAAAAATTTATTTAAAAATTTCAAATTAATTTTTAAAGGTAACTCAAGCAATCTCTGCTAATACAACTTCAATTACTACAACTAATCAGCGCCAAGTAAATTTCTATCATAAATAAATTTTTAAAAAAATTCAAATTAATTTTTAAAGGTAACTCAAGCAATTTCTGCTAATACTACTTCAACTACACCAACTACTACAACAAATACAATTAATCAGCACCAAGTAAATTTTTATTATAAATAAATTTTTTAAAATTTAAAACAAAATAGTTTTAGTAAAAAATAATATAAAATCATTAAATTTTTTTAATTTTAACAATTAAAGATGATGCCTGCTAATAATATTAATGAGCAACAACAACAACAACAAAGTCAAATGCGCCTAGAAGTGGCGGCCGAAGTAAATTTTTTAAATTTTGTATTTTGAAAAAATTTAAACATTTAAAAAAATTAATTTTAATTTTAATTTAAGATTGCACTAAAACGACAGCAACGTTTAAATAGCAGTCAACCTGAAGCTGCTCGTTTCATCAACTCAATTGATAGTGTTTCTAATTTAACAAACACTGATCTTTTCATGATTGGATGGCAGAAAGACAATATCTTCCCGTAAAATTTTTAGAATTTAAAAAATATAATAATTAAAATTTTTAAGGGAGTTGGTTGGGGAAGTAATTTTTACACATAGGGGCCCAACCCCGAAGCACGGTTGGGATCGGGCGGATTGCCACGTTCAAATTGGCAGAGAAGGAGAAAAAGAAACAATTTCTATATTTTCTTGGAAGAATTATGCTGATCGTCTACAAGAAGCAAAACTACATGATGTAATTTTTGAAAAAAAAATTTTTTTAATATAAAATTTTGAAAAAAAATTTAAATTAAAAAATTTTAAATAAAATTTTTTTATTAGATTGTTAAATTTAAAAATTTACTGGTGGTCCCAGAAACCGGGCCTCGTCAACAATGGACTGGCACTGTCGATATAAAATTTAAATTTATTGCATCGTCCAAAATAGAAATTATTCAAAGACAACAAAACAATTCTATAGAGACAGGGCCATCTTCTTCTGCTGTTATATATGCTTCGCAAACTGGTTCAGGCCCTGCTCAAGATGAAGAAGAGGATGATGTGGCATATGTGGGTTAAATTTTTTGAAAAAAAAAACTTACGATTTTCACTTTTAATTTAAAAAATTCAAATTTTCATTAACTAATTATTTAAATTTGTAATTCAATTTCTCAATAAAAAATTTTTTCAATAAAAATCATTAATTTAATATTTTTAAATATTATTTACTTTTGTAATATTTCATTTACATAGATCTTCTTATATAATAAAATTTAATATGAATTTTTTATTGAATATAATTAAAAATTATTTTAATATTTCTTTTAATAAATTATTATAAAATATTAATCATTACGTTTATTTATGAATTTACAATAAAACTTTATATGAATTCTGCATTTAATATAAATTTTTATTAAACATATATTTTATTATTGAATATAATTATAAATTTCTTTAACATTGTATTTTATAATCTATTATTGAATTTTTGAATAAAATTAATGTTTTTACTTAAATTTTTTATTAAACATAAATTTTGCTATTGAATATATTTAATTTAAAAATTAAATTACATAAAAAATTAAAATTTTAATATTTCATTTAAAAAGATATATAATATTTATCAGTATATTTATCCTTGAATTTTTGAATTTAAATTTTAAATTTTTATTGAATATAAATTTTTATTAAATATAAATTTTGTTATTAAATATAATTAAAAATTTATTTACAATTCATTTAATAAATTATTATAGAATATTAATCATTACTTTATTTAAAGGTTTGATTTATCTTTTATTATTGATTTTTCAATAAAATTAAATATGAATTTTTGAATATGAATTTTATATTAAAAACAAAAAATTTTATTAAATTTCTCTTATTATTGAATTTAGCTTTAAATTAAATTAAATTAAATTTGCTGCTAAACTGATGATAGAAATAATTATTCATAGTTTAAAAAAGTATTAGATAAGTTAAATTATATATTTTTATGCTTTAAAATTATTTAAAAAATTTAATAAATTAATTAAATTTAAAAATTTTTATTTTTAAAATCTTTTTAATTTTTAAAATTTTTTTATTTTTTTATAATTATTTAAAAAATTTTTTAAATCTTTTTAATTTTTAAAAATTTAATTTTTAAAATTTTTTAAATTTTAATTTTTTTATTAATTTAAAAAATTTTTTAAATCTTTTTAATTTTTAAAAATTTTTTTAAATTTTTAAATTTTAATTATTAAAAATTTTTTTAATTATTAAAAATTTTTTAATTTTTAAAATTTCTAAAATTTAAAAAAATTTTAAAATTTTTTAAATTCTAATTTTTTTAATTTTTATATTTAAATAAAACATTAATTTTTCAGTCCTCGGCCTCCCAACAAAATGCAAGTATAAATGTTCAACAACCAATTCGGGTAATTAAATTAAAATATACAAGTGTATCTAATTTTTTTAATTTTTATATTTAAATAAAACATTAATTTTTCAGTCCTCGGCCTCTCAACAAAATGCAAGTAGAAATGTTCAACAACCAATTCGGGTAATTAAATTAAAATATATAAGTGTATTTTTTATTAGTTGCGTGATATTTTGAGCACGGCCGGGCACACACCACCCCATCTTAATTATTCTATTCCGCGTGTAATTCGTGATGAGGAAAGAGAATTTGCTGAAATGTATAGAGGTCAAGGTCATGTATCCGATCACTATATTGCGCCTGGTGGGTTATCAATGGCTCGAAGAGATACAATAATGAATTCAAGCATTAAATTGCCTAGTGATTTTATTTCTGACGGGACATTGTGTGGACCTTGCAATATGGAATTCGCCCCACAGCAAAATATTATTATTTTACAATGTAATCATAAAATCCATCGCAAATGTTTTTGGAATTTATCACGAAATTTTAATTTTTGTCCGTTATGTCGTCAAGAGATGGGGCCTAGGACTGAAAATAACGAATAGCCTAGTTCTAAATCGGTATTAAGTTTTATTGGACTATACGTTATTTTAAGTCTTGGGTCATATTTAGGTGTAATATTTTAAAAAATATATAATTTAAAAAAATTCATTTTTCAATTAACTTTATAAAAATTATATATTTTTTATTATCTAATTATATAATATTTTTGTCCAAATCTCAATTTTTATGACTAAATGTTTCTTAAAATTTTTGCAAAATATTTATAATAAATATATCTCTTTAAAAATTATATCATAAATAGTTTTAAAAAATTATATTATAAATATTTTCAAAAAAAGCTTGATTATCAATATTTTTTATTATTTTTACTTAACTTTAATTATATAAACCTTAAATTTCTGAAATTATTTTAGCCTTTTACTTTATTGCCTTAAATAGTTAATGTTTCAGCTATAAATTGTTTTTAAATTATTTTAAGTAAATATTATGAAATTATTTGTTATTATTTTCCATTTCAATCAATTTTGATTAAGTAGTTAAAACCCGCGTCGTCGCTCTAAGGGGTATACAGGGATTAATGTCTAGGTGTGATAATCTGTTTATGGATTTTTAATAAATAACTAAATGAATGGATAAATAATAATAATAATATAAATTCAGGACATTAACATGAACAACAACTACTTCACAATTGAGCGAGTCACCGAATTCAATTCACGCTCACGAAATACTTTTGGTCAAATTTGCCATATACGATTCAACCCGCTTGAAGATCAACAGAGACCCGATTTAGCAATGACCGTTCTAATAAATCATTTGCTAGATCGGGTACTCGCAGGACGACCAGCGCCCCTTCGTATTGGTCTTCAGGTGCAACCACCAAATTTCCAGCATCCATTTACAATTCCGCTTCGTCCACTTGACCAGAATAATCCTGCCGCTTTGGCCGCAGCGATTGAACGACTGAACGAAATCTCTGCCGCTGGCATAGATTTGTTAAGTGGAACAACAGTTACAAAAGTCGTCGCTGTTTGGCCTTTGACTGGCCAACGTACAAACAATCCCGATGCCCGATCTGGTAGGTCGATAATAGTCTTATATTTTTTAAAGTAAATATAAGGCTGCTATTTTCCTACAGGTAGTTGTGATTTGGAACTCGACCATGTCTTATCATCCCGATGCCGATCGATTGTGCGCGTCCACAATCCTAACGACAGATACTGCCTTGCTCGCGCAGTAGTTATCGGTTTGGCAAGAATTAGGATGGTGGATCAAGGCGTTGCCAACGGAGCCGCTAGATTTAAAGAATTTTGCCAACAACAGCAACAACATTTATTTCAAGCAGAAAATTTAATGCGAAGGGCAGGACTTGAATTCGGACTTATGGTATTTTAAACTACTTTATCAATTTTTTTATTAGAGGGATATTTGATTAAAATATTTTTAATTATTTTAGCAATATTCGCTGGAACATGTTGCAATTTTACAACGCTGGTTAAACGAATATTTTGATGATGAAGGCTATGTTCGTATTGTTGTTTTTCAAAAGGAACAGCAATATCGAATAGTCTACAAGGGTAATGGCAGAGCTGCACGACATAATCTGTGTCTACTTCTTGAAAATCAACATTACAACTATATTGGCCGCCCTGAACAACTTTTATCAGTACAACGCTTTTGTATCGATTGTGAACGGTGTTATACACGCTGGACTCACTGGTCTGGATGTTGTGTTGTGTGCCGGTTTTGCATGCGGTCCGGCGTCAATTTTCCATGTCAGGTATACTTATATTCATCTTTTTGTTAAAATTTAATTTTAGATTGAGGAAAAAGTTTTATGTCAGGACTGTGGATTTGTTTTTCCTAATCGTTCTTGTTTTGATTACCATTTAATAAATGATGCTCCAGAAGAATTTATTAGGCGTGTTAGCCGTACTTTTGTTTCCATTTGTCAAATGAGGCGTATCTGTAATAAATGTCACCTGATAATATATCGGCAACAACAACACGAATGCCAACAACAACAACAACAACAACAAAATTTAATTTGTAAAAAATGCCGGGGTCCTCATTTAGAGGAATTACCTTGTTATATCCAGCCTTTAAGAGCTGAAGAAGATGAAGATTCAGATGTTGAAGAACAACACCCACAACAACGACAAAAGAAACGAAAATCTCCAATTCGCTTATGTTTCTTTGATGCTGAAACAACCCAGGATGAAAATATACAAATTAGCTGCAATATTAATGGATATAAACATGTTCCAATACTTATAATTGCAGAGGTAATATTAAAAATTTTTTTAAAATTTAAAATGAAATTTTCTTTAAATTTAAATCCGTAATAAAAATTTATATTTAGGTAATTTGTGAAAACTGTATAAAAGCCGGAATTAATATTGAGGATGTGGGCCAACGTGCTCCAGGATGCTTTTGCGGACAACCCCGAGGTGATAGATGGCGTAATTGGTGTTCACCACCTTTCAAAAATTCTAATGGCGACAACACCTGCTTTCCAAATAATATTTCATTTAACCCACGTCGTATGTTCTTTCATTCCTTTGACAACGCTAATGAAAGCCCTGTGGATCAATTTCTTGATTATCTTCTTCAACACGGTTCAAAGCAAATGCTAACAATTTGTATCGCACATAATGGTGGCAAATACGACTTTCACTTAGTGCTTGAGGCTTTACACAGGCGAAATGAACCACCATCAAGATTATGTACAACCGGCCTTAAAATATATTCAATGAAATTAACTGGAAACAACAAAAGAAAAGTACTTTTCAAAGACTCGCTAAATTACTTCAGTTGCGAGCTTGATGCTCTAACAAAAATTTTTTCTGTACCCGAAGAAGTAGCAACATCTAAGCCATTCTTTCCATACTTATTCATAAAAAGACAACATCTTCATGAGAGAATTCGGGGACTTCCGCCACTTCAATACTATCAACCAGAATATAAGAATTCTGTTAAGAGAGATGCACTTCTCGAATGGTATCAACAACAATTGAATGATGAAACAACCAATTTCCAACTACGCGAACAACTTATTCTTTATTGTGCCAATGATGTTGCTATTCTCCGTGAAGGAGTTCTCCGATTTCGACAACTTATTGGCCAGCACGCGCAGAGGCTAGATCCTTTCTTGGAAGCATCAACAATTGCTGGTTTAGCTCTTACAACTATGCGCCGCTGCTTCCTGCCTGAAAATTGGCTCGTCCATTCGCCTGAGGGAGGTTATTTGAGAGGAAGGCGTGCCTCTGCTGAATCGCAGCGCTACATCCGCTTATTCGAACAACAAAATCCTGAAGCAGCAGGAAAGGTTCAGCATGCACAGTGGGCAATGGGAGAAGCACATGTGGAAGATTGTGGGTATAGATTGGATGGTCTTTGGCAGAGATCTCCACCACAACGCCCTTTAGCAATTGAATACATGGGTTGCTACTTCCACGGTACTTTAAAATAGATTTTTTTGTATAAACATTTTATTTAGGCTGTCCAAGATGCTTCCCTCGTCGTGATCAACGTTTAGCCGCTGGCCGTACTGCTGAAGAACTTTATGAGCGGACACAACAACGTCTTTGGGAATTGGAACACCAGCACGGATTTGAACTTCACGTAATTTGGGGCCATGAAATGATGGAAAAATTAAGAAACAATCCAAAGTTGCGCCATCAATGGCTTGAAATTGATTGTGTGCGACCTCTTGATCCAAGAGAAGATTGTCTTCGAGGTGGTAGGACAGAGCCGTTCAAACTTCATCACTTTTGTGGCGAAGATGAGGAAATTATCTACATCGATATTGTAATTTTTTAATTGATTAAATTTTTAACATTTAAAATTTAGGTAAGTCTCTATCCCTATGTGATGAAGTCAAGGCCCTTTCCAGTTGGGCATCCTCACGTTTTGACTCGTGAAACATTGCTTGATCAATCAAACAGCAACAACCCTTTGCCCTGGACAATTCCAGAGCACAACATCTACAAGGGTTTACTTCTTGTCAAAATAGAACCTCCCACATGCTTGCCTGGAAATCTTCCACCGCTCCTGCCTTATCGAACCCATGATGGCCGACTCACATTTCCACTTTGTGCAAGATGCGCCGATGATAAACAACAGAGGCCTTGCACTCATTCAATCGTGAGCGTTCCTGGCTGACTGGCTACACTCATGTGGAGCTGAATGCTGGTCTGGAACACGGCTATAAAGTTGTGGATATTTACGAGGTTACTAAATTATTTTTTAAATATTTTGAATAAAATTAAAGGTTTGGAATTATGACCAATGGGACAACAAACTATTCCAATCATATGTCAACACATTCGTGGGGCTAAAGCAAATGGCAAGTGGCTGGCCGGAGGGATGTGTAACTCAATTGAATAAATCTGAATATCTACAAGAGTATGAACGAACTGAGGGTATTACTTTAGATCCAGATCGTATTGAGAAGAATCCAGGTCTTCGAATGATTGCGGTATATTTTAATTATATTGTCTGATTAAATAAAATATTTTAGAAATTATTGGCAAACTCTCTTTGGGGGAAACTTGCACAACGTGTTTGCGGAACCGAAGTCCGTTACGTCACAACACCCGCAGAATTTCATCAATTATTTGAGGATCCAACAACAGAAATGCTCGATTTTGATCATGTTAGTGAGCATTTGGATCGATGTGTAGTCCGGAGAAAGGCAGAATTTGCCAAGGCACCAAATACCAACTGTATTCCTGTAGCAGCGTTTGTGACTTCTTATGCTCGTTTACATCTCTATGAGTATATGAAAAAAGTTTATGAAATTGGTGGCCGTCTCCTGTATTGCGACACTGATTCCCTAATCTATGTTGGGAAGCTTGATGGTCCACGTGTACCTGAAGGCGAATCACTTGGAAAAATGAAACGTGAAATTCCTTCACGTCGAATTTTGGAATTTGTTGCTGGAGGCCCAAAGAACTATGGCTACAGACACGTCGACACAAATACGGGATGGATGAGAGAGCAGAGCTAAAGATCCGGTCTTTTCCTCTCTCATATGCTACACATCAACTACTGAATTTTGACAGCATGAAGAATATTGTGCTTGAACAATTTAATGTTGATGGAATAATGTAAAATTTAATCATTTATTTAAATAAAACAAATTTTTCAATTAGGGATGAAGCGCTTGCTGATGACATCTTCAACAGGACTGGTGGAAATGGCAATTCAATATGTGTGCAATTCCCTCAGATTGGCAGAACTCGAAGATCACAGCTTTATACGCACATGACAACAAAGCAATATAGACCGTATTATGAAAAGGGAAGAATAATGCCGGGGATGGAAACACTTCCATTTGGATTCAGAGAAATTCCGGTATTTTTCCTTTAAATATCTTTTAAAAAAAATTAAAATTCAGAATGATCTTGGACACCAACGACAAAGACAACCTGAACAACCTCATAATGCTGAACCGCAAACTAGACAGGTAGACGATTCTATTCTCAATTTAGAAGATGTTCCAGGTTCATCAAACTGGACAAATCGTGATTATTTAACTAGATATCATCAATAATTTTGTAAAAATTTTTTGTTTGTTTACCACACCACAAAAATTTATGCTGATATTATTTGTAAATATTTTATTTTTTAATAAATTTTATAATCGTGGAAATTTTTCAAGCAATGGTAGTATATCATTTTCAAAAATAAATTCCATTTCTTTTTGAGATTTTAATCCTGTTAGTATTACACGTCCTGAAATATAACAAAGGCAGGAGGCTTCACCATCCCTTCATTCTATTTTGGTTTTAAAACGAAGTGCTGGAAATATTGTTTGTTCGTAATAACAAGTTATATTTTGTCTTTTACGAAGATAAGAATATAGTTGTTCTATTGCCAACTTTTTTGGATGTCGATAAACACCAACAATATTTGTAACGATAAGATTCCTCACACCAATTTTTAAATAGGAATAGTCATTGCCTGTTGCCTTATATGAAGCTTGAATTCTTTTGGTTACACGCCAAGCCATTCTGTTTGCCAATGCAGGGTTAGGAACACCAGTTAGAACAACTTTGCCAGATTGAAAAATAAGTGCTGCCGTTGTTTTATATTCCTGATGCCGAACTCGCATAATTATTGAATGGAATCGTCGGGGATTATATTCTGTATTTATCCCATGACGTGCAAGTTGAATAAAATTTTCATAAGAAAATCTTTTATTATAAGGAAGAAGTTTAAAAACAGCAGTACAATTTTCGATTTGCATAATATTTACTTTTCAGAAATAAAAAATACAATATTTTATGTATACTAAAAATAAAATTATTGAATAATAAAAAATTTCTAATAAGTTTTAAAATTAAATATCTTTCTATGAACATCCTCCTTTCATCTTGTAACGGATAACACTGAGACATTCAAGAGGATAAAATGATCGATGATGCCCTCCTCCAAATTGAATAAGACAAGGTAAATATGGATGAAAGAGTTTGAGTTTGTGTTTGACGTAGTAGTACCCGCGAACCTAAAGAAAAATACAATCTTATTTAAAAGCTCATAATAATTTACCGTTATTCCAAGATATCCACCCATGGCCAGAACATTACTTGCAGATTGCGCTGTTAAATCATGGCAATAGACATTGAAATTTTTATAACTCGGCTTTAAATGAGAAGTACGTATTTGGACATTTTGTTGCAAATTTTCTATAAGTTCACGCCGAACTTCGAGATTATGAAAAAGCACATGTAGTTCTTTAAGCGAACATTTTTTTATTTCACAAAGATAATCAAGTAGAGGAATAGAGCCTTTATTTGTTCGAGCATGTTGTTTAGTTGTTATTCCATTAATAGGTCGTATGTTTGTTAATGATGGTTGTGGTGTTGGTTCTCGAAATGGATTTTCTGGTTCTGCAGTCCAATCTAATGGTTTATCCTCATTATCGTCTATAAACATACGAAATAATTTTTCACTTGTATCTAGATTTTTTTCATCTTCAACATCGTCTTCCTTTTCTTCGGTTAGATCCTCCACTATGTTAAGCAATCCAAAAGCAGGTGTAATTACATCTATTTCATTCTAAAAAAATGTGCTCTTTTAATTAATTTATAAAAATATTTTGTACCTTTTTATCTGTCTCTTTGGCTTCTTGATTAGCTTGCATTGTTGTATGATTTGTATTTGAAGGAGACGCATCGTCTTTAATAACACCCAAGGCATGAGATTATAAAATTCCATAATTTCAAATAATAATAAAATTCAATCTTTCTATATATAATATTCTGAATTTAATTTTTATATTAGATAAAAATGAATGGATTTGAAAAAGTTAATATTATGCACACTTGTTTTAAACACCCGTTCACTATGATAGTATCCGGAAGCACAGGGTCTGGAAAATCAGAATGGGTTAAAAATTTGCTAGAAAATTTGGAGGAAATGGTTACTTATGAAAATGAAAAACATAATCAAATTGATTTAGTCTTTTATTGTTATGGTGAATTAAATTCTAATATTATAAATATGCAACGTAAGGGTTTTGTAAATAAAGTTAAAACACAAGTTATTGCTCATAATGGGTTGCCTAATGGGGGAAATGAATTTATAAAACAACAAGCAAGGAATGGAAGAATGTTACTAGTGTTAGATGATTTAATGCTTGGGATGAACCAAATATTTTTAGATACAATATTCACTAAGGGCTCGCATAACTGGCAAATGAGTGTTATATTAATAACACAACATTTATTCAGTAAAGAATTAAAAGTTGCCCGTAATAATTCTCATTATCTTTTATTAATGCGAAATCCTGCAGGAGCTTTGCAAATTAGAACACTTGCAACGCAATTGTTCCCCTCCAGATCGAGATACTTTCTGGAATCATATTCTGATGCTACAAAAGAAAACTTTGGATATTTGTTAGTCGATATACATCCTAGTACTCCTGACTTTTTACGACTTCGAACACATATATATTATAATACGGGGGAAAAAACTATAGTTTATATTCCAAAATGAATAAAAAAATTTCTACAAGCAAATTAATTGAGAAAAATGTAAATTTCTTAAATTCAGTTTGCGAATCTAAAAAATCTAGAAAGGTAATCAATGATATATTATTAAATGCATCCGCTGAACAGTTGTTATGCTTCGTTGAAATCTGTTTTAATTTATTAAAGGGGCGTTTACCTTTTCATAGAAATAGAATTATTAATTTGCAAAAACATGCAAATATATTGAGGAAAATCAGTAGATCTAGAAGTGCTTCCTCAACACGATGTTTATTGCAACAAGGAAACGGGATTTATCCTTTAGCGGGCATTCTTGCAAGTCTAGTTTTACCTTTAATTACCGACAAAATTTTTAAATAATATAAATAAAATTTGATAATAAAAATTTTAATTAACAATGAAGCGAATGATATTAATTCCGGAGGATTTTTATGAAAGTTTAGTTAGTAATAGAACTGATAGGGATGGAGACGGAACGGCCTTAGGATTAATAAAAGAACGTTTACAAAACAGTAGTGCAATCAATAATTCATTAGATCCTACAACAAGAGCAGCTCGTTACGAGCAGGATTTTAAAAGGTATAACAAGCTTATTAAAGAAAAGGAAGAGAAGCCTATTGATGTGAAACTCAAAAATTTTGAAGAAATTGCTGATGCCGTAACTAAAAATGTCGATTTAAATAAAAGTCCAGTGGAAACAAAAGACGAGATTAATAAAAATAAAAATTCTAGAAAAATTATAATAAGAAAACCAAAAAGAAACTCAATTGGTAAAGTTACATTAAGAAGGAGAGTCAAATTTCCAAATCAAACAGTAAAGATAGAAAATTCTGATGGAATTGAGAATGAAGAGGGTGAAGAATTCTTTTCAGCAGATAGTGAAGCGAATCCTAAAGAAGAAGCTCGTCAATATTTGAGAGATCATGCTAATGAACTTGGCATATTGCCCAGTGGTAAGTTAGCCAGGAGATTAGGTACTCAAGAATCCTTTGTCACAAGTAATATTGAAGAAATTTTAAGCTATATAATTAAAAATAAGGGAAAACGCAAAAGGCCAATCCCTACCGGTTATGATGAGTTTATTCGTAGAATAAATAGTCATTCAATTTTACAAAATATACTTTTTCCTTCTAAATCTTCAACTAGCAAACAGCAAGGCGAAGGATTTTTTAAACACACCTTTTCATATAAACCAACATCATGGCAAAATTAAATAAAAACAAAATTAAAATTCTTGACAAGTTATACAAGAATGTTAATTCGACTTCATGTTTTACATCCGTTGAACCGCTTTTAAAGGAAGCAAGGCGATTAGATAAAAGTATTTCTCGAAATATTGTGAGAGATTACCTTGCAAGCCAAAATGTTTATACATTACATAGAAGAGTAATTAGAAAGTATAAGCGCATGCCAACACTAACTCCAGGCTTACACACAGAATGGCAGGCCGATCTTAGTGTTTTTGATAAAATTAGTAAACATAATCGTGGATACAAATATTTATTAGTATGTATTGATGCACTTAGTCGACAAATATTTGTTGAACCAGTAAAAAGTAAACATAGTAATAATATGATCGAAGCTTTTAAAAAATTATTTTCTCGGGTCGGAATAATACCCTGGAAACTTTTAACAGATCAAGGATTAGAATTTACTGCAAAATTAGTACAAAAATATTTTCGCTCAATAGAAATGGAACACTTTTCAATGCTCACCTCTCCAGTATGGCATGCAGGAATGGCTGAGAGGGCTAATCGTAGTATCAAAGAGCGACTTTACCGTTATTTTACAGAGAATAAAACTTTAAAATGGCTAGACGTTATCCAGAAAATTGTTTTGTCCATTAATCGTTCTTTTAACTCTAGTATTGGCATGAGACCTATTGATGTGAATTATAAAAATGCCGAAAGTTTGCGATTATTATTAAAACAAAAGGCAGTTACAAAACACGCGCCATCAAGTTGGAGAAATAAAAGATTTTCTGTTGGGGATAATGTTCGTATAGAAAAATATAAACATATTTTCCAAAAAGGATACCTACCAAATTTTACAAATGAAATTTTCATTATTGACCAAGTTCGATTGGTTCCTCATCAACCTCCAACTTATAAAATTCGCGATCGTAAAGGGGAAGAAATTCTTGGTTGGTTTTATGGGAATGATTTAATTCTCGTTAAAGAAGATCTTAAAAAGAATGAAAATATTTATGACATTGAAAAGGTTTTGAGAAAAAGGAAACGAAATGGTGTGGATTATCTTTTCGTAAAATGGAAGGATTATGGGTCTGAACATAACAGTTGGATACCTGCTAACTCTGTTCTATGGAGATAATATACATAAATGAAACTTTAAATATTTAAAATAAAAAAATGACTTCCTTTTATATAATTATTCCATCCAATACTAATGTTGAAGGAAATAGAACTAATTCTTTTAGAGTTAGATTACCCCATAAACTAAAATTTAATTCTGAATGGAATGTTGGATTATCTGTCATGGTTTATCCTATTCCTGGCCTTCACTTGGGACTACAACTGAACAAACTATAACAGTTGTTTGGAAAAGTGGTGAGATTGTTCGTTTAGCTGTACCTTCTAATAGTTTAACTAACCCTCAAAATTTAAAACAAAGCCTCGATAAATCTCTTAATGAAGGAAGTGAGACACTTTCAGAAAAAATGCGTAGTTGCCAAATTGAGTATACCAATATATTAAAGGAAACACGAAGCAAGGCTAAGGAAGAGTACAAAAAATTAAAAGAACTTGTACAGAGCAGTAAAGAGGTATCTACAAACGTAACAACCGTAAAACATGTAATTATTCCTGAAGGCGAAATTCCTAAACTGAGAAGCGAAACAGAGATTTATAACGATATGGTTAAAGCAGAAATTGACAAATTGCCTATAGAAACTAGTAAAATTATTGAACTGACTCGTGAAAGTGGCTTTGAACCGTGGATTACAGTATATCGAAAACCAAAATTTGCATGTGCCTTTGAGTTCCACTCACATAAAAATAGGTTTTCATTATTTATCGACAAGAAGTATATAGAACAAATTGAAATAAGCGAGCAACTTGCATATATTCTTGGTTTTGATTCACAAGTATTAAAGGAATCCTGTGTTGCCAAGTTTATGCCAGATATGAGAGGAGGGGTTTCTTGTTTTCACGTTTATGCACCAGGTCTAATTGAACCAATGATTATTGGGGATATTACCGCTCCAGTTCTCCGTATTGTAACCATTCGGGGAAAACAAGACGAAATAATTGAGGAACAATTTCTTTCTATTCAATATCATAAATTGCTTGTTAAAGAAATTTCCGAAATTTTAATTGAAATTCGCACAACTAGCGGGTCCTTGATGCCTTTTCAGTATGGAACATGTACATTAACATTACACTTTAAAAAATCTACATACTTTTAATAATGAATACTATTCAGATTGATAAGATATTAAACAGAAATTCTGTTACCAAAAAATATTATATCGGTTGTTATGCCTCTAACTGTATCCCTTATAAGTCAACCTATTCCCCTTTCTGTGCGGTAATTAACATAGATCCTAATAATTCACCTGGGACACATTGGATAGCAATATTTTGTGATTCCATTAAAACTATTGAATATTACGATTCGTTGGGAATATGGCCACCGATGAGCTCCCATATTCGAGATTATTTAGAAAAATTTCAAAGAGTTCGATTTAATTCCATTAGACTTCAGGGTATGTTTACGCGCTCGTGTGGTCACCATGCAGTATTTTATCTCTATATGCGCTGTTCCGGTTTTCAGATGAATGAAATAATTTCATTTCTTAAAAATATAAATGCTGATAAGTTTGTAACAGAATTTATTGCATCAAAGATATTTAATATACATAGTTATTAAAAATATTTATTTTCAACTTAAAATGCATATCGACTTTGATCCCTCACATATTAACTGGTCAGCATTGACCGACGAGCCTAATCAATGGGGTGGGTATAACGTATTTCGCGGTATTCCCTACCAGAGAGGAAGTGGATTAGGTTCAGTATTTAGGAGTTTTCTCCGTTATCTCATACCTATCGGTAAAGAAATTGGTAGTGCCATAGGTAAACAAGGACTCGAATCGGGCAACAAAGTTTTAAGTAACGTTCTGGAAGGAAAGGATCTCAAAGAATCGCTAATTAGTGAAGGTAAAACAGGGTTGAAAAATTTATTACAGAAAGCAGCCGATAACGTTGATAAACAAACAGGCAAAGGCTTTGATTTTAAAGAAATATTGAAAAACCTCCATCCCTGGGGCAAATGAATGATGAAAAACGTGATATAAAGCTTAAGACTATAAATAAACGGGCATATTCCCGTATTGGCCCTCCTAATTTTATTCCTAATCTTGCTAGGAAACCTTCGAAAAAATCTCCTAGAAAAATTCCCGCTAACAAGCGTTTACGAGTAGATACTTTAGGCACATACTAACATGAGTTGTCCTAAACAAATTAATGAAAATAGTCCTTTGGCCTTAAATAGCGCACTGAATATTTTTTCCGTTCCTCCAACTAATGTTTCTGTTACCCGTTCCTTTTTTCGAGAGATTCTACCCCTTAGCACAATAACGCAAGATTCGCCTTATTTGTTTCGTCTGTTCAGTGATAATCTCTGGACAGATCTTTCCAGAACTTATCTTTATCTTGAACTTTCTATTGAAAAGCTTGGTGATACAGGTAAATGGGAAGATATTGATTCGACTAAAGATACAAATATTGGAACCATTCAAGGTATCGGGCAAACATTCGTTCAACAATTAAAAGTTAATGTTGGTAATACTGAAGTTTACGATAGTGGTACTCTTTATCCATATAAAGCATATATAACCAATGAGTTATCATTTCCTGACAATGTTAAGTCTAATTTTCTTGCATCAGTTGGGTACTATAAAAGCGAAAAGCATAATGATGCTCTTGATTCGGGATTTATAAACCGATGTTCACTATTTGCCGGGGGTAAAAGATCACAATTTCTTTCACGATTAGATTTTGATTTGGGAAACCAGGAATTATTTTTACTCAATAACTTAGATATAAACTTTAGCATCTATAGAAGTAAAAATTCATTTGTTTTGCATAAACTTAAAGCTGATGATAAAAATGAGTATAGGCTTTATGTTCATGACGTTAAACTTTTTTCTAAAATGATTGAAGTACAACCATCCCTTAATATGAACATTTACAAAACGCTTGAATCAAAGCCTGCTACATATGCCCTAAGAAGAACTGAAATGAAATCAACCTTTTTAACCGCGGGGCGCACAGAAATTGAATATAATGCTTTTAGCGCTACAATACCGAGAAGAGTCACGGTTGCTTTGGTATCAAACAAGGCATTTAATGGAGATATTACACTTTCACCATTTAACTTTAAACCATTTGATTTGAGAGAAATCTCAGTTCATACTGGCGGGCATATTTATCCCATGGTTGCTTATAAACTAAAATTTGAAAAAGATCTTTTTGTTCGAGCTTTCGTTGACATGTACGAAGGATTGGGGATGGCTAACTCCGATCGGTCAATCGATATTCCAATGTCCCGATTCAAAAATGGCTGGACATTTTTTGTAATACCTTTGACTTCAACACTTGACGACTCTTGTGGATTTGAGTTGCTTAGAAGTGGTACTACAAGTATACGTTTAGAATTTAATTCTCCCATTCCTTCTGGTGGCGTTGAAATGATTATCTTGGGAGAATTTGATCAAATGTTAATGATAGATTATAATCGTCATATCGTTTCCGATTCCAATCTTGGTTAGAGAATTTGTATAAATAATTGGTTATTAAAATCATTCCGGCATTTAACATGCAAAATTACTCTAATATTTCTGATAATATATCTTTCGCTTTAAATGTTGATGACAATTTTAAGGGATCTAATAAGTTTATAGCTTATGATATTCTTTTATTTTTATTGATTTATTCATTATTAATACCTCTGATTATTCTATGTTGGGTTCTAATTCTTAGATTTTTGCGCAATAGAGGTTTAATTACTTCAACTCAAGAAAATGCCATTGCTAGCAATATTAAAGATATTCCCCTAGTAAGGCTGCCAAGATCAATTACTCATTATAATTTACCCATTGGATCTGAATGTCCTGTGAATTAATATTTTTAGAAACCCTTGACCATGAAATTTTCAAATTTTTAAATCGATATTTTGAACATTTAACATTTTAAAGTCCGATTGCGACGAAATCAGGCACTGAACCGTGCGCGATGAAACACGCAAGTTAAAGCGTCCCGGTATCAAAAAAAAAGAATAGGGTTTAAGTTAAATAATTATTCAATTTAATTAATCTTCCCAGTGGCGGAGTCGTTAGTGTCTCCGCCTTTAGGCTAGGAGTCACCGGATCGCCTCCGCCACTGGGAAGTTAATTATTTTTAAAAAATGGCTTTTTGGCATGTGGTGTTTTGTCTTGTACCATTTTGTCTTGTGGATTTTTAGACAGTGGTAAAAGGTTTGGGATGAGTCATCACACTTCTATTTTCCCTGCACGTACCTTTAGGGGCGGGGCAAAATCAATCGATAATTAAAAAAGGATGTTAATGTAGTAACTAACATACGTATTACAAGGGCGGTGCGCAAAACTTCAAATCTCGATTCATATGAAGCCACATTGAGATTTGAAAATGTTGCTTCATACGTCAGTCCAATTTAGTCTTACGAGGCGTGTATCAAAAAAAAACTAGGCTCGAAAAATGCACCGAACGTCGGCTCGAAAAGAAAACGGCACCCTATTTACCATATTCACACATTACTTACTCTATACCTCAACTACCTTCAGTTCCGAATGTGATGTGTTAGAAACATTCTTATGTATGACCCACAGAGTTATTAGCCGAATAATGTTCAGCTTCCAAAAAAAATGAATCACCGGCCATCAAATTTCGCTTAATTAAATAAATTTGAAGCTAATAAAATCTAAATAATAATAAAATGAATATTACGTAACACAAAGAACGACATTCACAAGAAAATTTACAGGATACGCCTATATAATTTTCCAAGAACCGACAACCCTACTCACTCCCGAAAGAGAGGATGGACTAATATTTTGTACCAATTCCAAGTCGAATTTTGATTCGAACATCGATCATGATAAACAATATAGGCAGAGTAACTCGATTTATGATAGATAAATGAGATGAGAGACTAGCAAATTTATATATATATATATATATATCCTCAGCCCAGTTATAGTTGTGGACAAAGCGCTTTATCTGAGAATTTCTCCGGATTCGCCAATCATAATAATTAATTTTGTTTAATATCAAATTGAATATTAAAATTTTATTAAATCGGATTATCGAAAATTGTTGTTTTGGCAATTATTTTTGGTTTGGTCTAATTTTTTGGATGACTGCATGTTAGCAGCAAATGATCTGAAATTTCTCTATACCCGATTTGTTTTTCTTTTTCTAAAAATCAGAAAGATCATTTTCTCAAACCGATCCATCCTTAAACGTTATAGTTGGTGAAAGTTATTCAGATAGTTAAACATTGAGACCAAAACTGGCTCTAAAGCATAGTGAAAATTAGCCTAAGCATTTCTTGGCTTACAAAAATAAATCAAGTGAAGATGATATATACATTTTCCCTTTAATCGAAACTTACTTTTCTCACGAAATTAATAAAATAACAAATATCTTTAAAAAATTCCAAAGTCCCATCATAGAAGGATGAAGAACGTGGAGTTCTTGTTCTGAAACTGAACAAAAACGGTAATATCTGTTAGGTATGTGTGGGTCAAGTATGAAAGAAGTCATTAGAGATCAGTCTCTGTCGGCACGACGGATGACCGTCGCCTCCTATCCTTCATCATTCTTGCCTTTTTCCACCTTCCTTATTCGTGTATTTACTATTCGGATAAACGTGTTATTCTATTCTTATGTTATTCTGTTAGTAAGACCGATACCTAGGAAATAACAATATCCTAAGAACATCAGAATAAAGACATAACTAGAAACTGTGTTTTATCACAAGAATGATATAACAAAGTTGATGCAATAGGAAAAGACTTAGTTTGGCCAAAAATTCTTCATTGACTCAAGCATAATTGAAAGTATTGATTAATTCAATAATTTTGAGATAAGACTTAATTAGATTTCAAGAATGTGAAATTGTTGTCAAAGAATTATCTATTTTTGTAAGTCTTAAGCAATGCTTAGACTAATTTTAAGATAAATTTTGCAACCAGGCTCTATAAATATGTCAGAGAAAGTGTTGTTGTCCATCACAACCTTTGGTAGATTCTGGGAGAAAAAGTCTAGTGCTCTCTGCAATAGACTGGATTTGAAGGGGAGTAAATGTGTGCCTAGAGAAGAGATAATAGGGATAATTAGGCATTGTTAAAACAATGCTAGATTTGGAAAGAAATTACCTCTACCTATCGCATAACGGGTTTAATAGATCCTTGCCAGTCCGAGATTTGCCAAAGTCTACGAGCAACAGAATACCGATTCATCCAAGGTAGCAATGTAGACGACGGTGGATTAAGAAGAGATTTGACGAAGAATTACAGGGGCTAGCATGATCCGTTCATTACATTTATTTATGTGTGTCCGGGACCGAATTAATCTTAGTGGGCTGGAAAATACAAGGAGATCAAAGAATAGCCGTGTTAGTGTAAAGTATAAAGGTAAACTCATTATTAGTAAGGTAAACTCATTATCAGAAATATAGTGAGAGAGAGGTGGGATTTTTGTGGAAGTCGTGGAAGGGGCGATTAAGAAATTTTGTCGTTGAGTGGACTATAATGTTCATGCTGTGTAAAATTCATTGGATGGGAGATAGGACAGAACCATTCCAGAAAAGGCCCAAACCGAAGCACAACCGACTGTGCCACCATCCTACCCGATGATGGGTTATTTACTTTCATTTATATTCTTTCTGCAAGTGCGGACACAACAGGAGCCCCATATTTGAGGACATACAGATCGTTTTGATTTCTGTATCCTTTTAACAGTATTATGGGTAGGTCTATTATTATTTCAAAAAAGTATTAATTATTTAATTTAGTTAGAAATAAAAATTAATTTAAATACAAGTACTGTAGACTTGTTGCTCCTGTGTTATTTTTTGGAAGCCAAGCAATGCTTAGGCTAATTTTGCAAATATTTGTAGAAAGGTATAATTATATTAAGTCGAAGGGTCTTGATTTTGAAATTTCTTCGGATTCGCTTTTGGGTCGGAAAAGGATTGGTTTTAGGTCTCGATTAATCTAAGGGGAATATCAGAGAAAAGTCGGGACAGGGATCTGTTTAAATCAGACGCAGCAATATCGCTTCTATACGGCCCGGCCGAATTTGTGTCCAAGAGTTGATTCTTGACTCGTATTTTCATTGATTATTTCGGTCTTTGAGTATCGCTCTTTAACCGAGTAATTTTGCGTATTAGTGTCAAAGTTTAGCCTAAGCATTGCTTGGCTTACAAAAAATAAGATATTGCGCCATGGAAACCATATCCCAATTAAAATTCTATTAACCTTTACCTTAAAATTTATAAATTTTTTAATACTTTGTAATTATGCTTGAACATCATACGCTTCAAAATACCACAAAAATCCTTAAAAAATAATTTCCCCCGACTTATAAAAAATCACAAAGGACACAAAATCTACAAAAATAAATACTATAGTAATATGGGTTAGCGCCGATAAGTTGGAGAAAGAATAGATAGTAGTGTTATGCAAAAGTATATATGTATAGGAATTGATCCTAAATATGATAGGAATTGAACCTAAAACTGTAGCCGAAGCCTATTCGAAACAGACTATCTTTATCTGCTAATTACACTGCCAACATTGTAACTTTCTAACCAGCCAAATGATATACATATTGTTCGAAAGCTCCCTTACGGACTAATGTTCTTTGAAAGCCTTTAAAAGCCCTTATAAAATTTAGTCTAAAAATATTTTTTTCAAAATTTATGGCTAATATTGACCAAGTTATGAAGCTTGGAAGATAAGTAGAAGCCATCCACGGTCAGGTAAGCAAGAGTTATTGTTAAAGCAAACTTTGACATTTTTTATATACCTATTTCGACATGGGAAGAATCTCACAAAAATTAATTGACTGGCTAATATGCAGTCATCCAAAAAATAACAGAAGCTGAACTGAGTAACAATTCAAATATTTTGATACTCAATTTTAATAGACTTTTTAAATAAATAATTTAATATTAAACACATTTTTAAATTTTATTTGCTTACCCGTGGATTATTTTGCGTTTCATTTTAAAGTTATTAATTAATTTATTAATTTTGTAAAGCATATAGCTATTAATTTCCTAAGGCTGAGCAGTAGGCGGCGTGGTGTAATGGCTAACACATCAGTCCGGTCTACTGAAGATGCTGGTTCGCTCCCAGCCGCCGAATAACCTTTTGCACTAGCTGAAGGAGAGAAATAGCTATAGCCCAGCTGCTTTACTATTTCGAGATAAGAGTTGATTTAAATTTAAAAGAAAATGCATCTTAATTTAAGCAAATTTCATTTTTTGGAAGCCAAGCAACGCTTAGGCTACTTTTGACGATATATGGGCAGGGTTTCGATATCTGCGGATTTTTCCTCATTTTGTGGTTTTTTGATAGGGCGATGAGTATTATTTTTAAAAATGCGGATTTGCGGATTTTTGTGGTCTTTTGAAGATTATGAGGATTTTTTATATTTTCTTGTGGTTTTTAGCAAAAATGTCATTATTTTTTCGCTAAGACCTTCTAAAATCCTCAAAATTTTCGCGTGCGGCGCTGAAAATGGAAGAAATCTGGCTTTTTGGCCTTCCAAAATTCTCAAAATTTTTGCCTGCGGCGCAAAAAAGGAAGGAAGCTGTGTCCTTGATCTTCTAAAATTCTCAAAATTTTTTGCCGTGCCTGAAAATGAACGATTTTTGGCTTAAGGATCTTCCAAAATTAAAAAATTTTCGCCTGCGGCGCTGAAAATGAAAGAAATAAAAATTTGTGACATCTTCCGCGACAAAAATGCAAGTGTAAATTTTCAGATAGTTGTCGGATTTTCATAATATGATATGTAATTAGTAGTAAAAAAAATTGCTTAATTCAATTGTAGAAGACAAAAAATACAATGCATAAAGTGATTTTAATTCAATTTTTGTGTTTGATAATTTTTTGGGATTTTGATATAAAATGCGGATTTTTTCGATCAATTTTGCGGATTTTTAAAAATTCGAGATCGAAACCCTGGTTAAAACCAATGTTTTCCCGCTTCTATAAGTTTTTCTTGTATGGTTAGTTAATTGTTTTTTCTCTCAAAAGAGAAAAAATTTTCTACCAATTGCTGTGAGTGATAATATAATTAAAGAACAGGAGGGAGTTTCGTCCGAGAATTAAGAAAATATCCATAGGAATTCGAAACTGGGAGTCAAATCAAATTAATAAGGAATCTCTCTAGTAAGATCTGATCACATTCCCTCGCATAGTTTGGATGTTTGGATTCACTGATAGCGTACATATAGAAAATGAAGACAGCCGATCTCGTTAACTGAGAGTCCTGTCTTTAGTTATTACCAGAAATGTTATATTCATAAATAAGTTAGGTATAGGAATAGAGAAAGGAGATATTCCTAGAACAACTGTTTCTAGATAATTTCTAGATGAGTTGTTTAATGCCTAAGTTTAAACGTTCGCAGAAGGGTCTGATTAGCCCAGAATTCACTTTATGAATACCCTATTATCTTTTACGCTTCACTGATATCGTACGTAAAGATCATGAGACAAGAGATCTGTTCTAATCTCATTAAACTTGGTTCTATTAATCATTCATTTAAGAAAATCATTTCTTCTATCTTGCATTTGAAAATTCTGTCTGTCCAAATTATGTAACTGAAAAATTCTGGAATGCATTAAGAATTCCTACTGTGCCCGTGGTTATCACTCGCTCTGTCTTTACTGGTATGGATGTTCCAAAAAATGCATTTATTGCTTTGGATGATTTTAATCTGTCAAAGAATTGGTTGAATATATGAAGGATCTAAGCAATAATACTGAAAAATATTTGAAGTAGGTTCTATTAGTATTTGAAGGGTAGCACAAATCGAAGTCGGTTAGGCTTATTCATAGTGGTAAATTTTAGTCAAAATAAATTTGACTTCCAAAGAATATAAAGCCATGCATGGTCGAACAACATAGTTGATCAAATTAAATTTTATAAATTGAACGTTTTCTGAAATTTTGAATATTAAGTAGATCGAAATTAAATATGGACTACGGAACTAGTAAATGCCTGGAACTAGCTTGGAACTAGTTCTTGTGGGTATATTTTTCACAAAATTTCCTCGGCGAAGTTTACGGTATTTTTAATATTGTTGTAAATTACCTGCAGCGCGTTGAAAATGGAAGATAGAAATTTTGGAACTTTCCCATCGCTGCATAAGAGTGTAAAGGAATTCCGTTCATCAGTCACCTGCAAAAAAGAATGAATCTTAACAGATGGGTCTATCTACAAATGGGTCTGATGCACAAATTACAAAAAAGTAGTCTGAAATATTAGCTTGAGATAGCTTAAAATCCCAGAATTGAATTTTAGTCAAAAATAATTTGACTCCCAAAAATAAAATATTTCACGCTAGGGACGGATATTTAACCAAGAATAAGCCAGATAAGGAATGAGTTTTAGTCAAAATTATTTGACATCCAAAAATAGCTACATCTAGTTCTGCAGAATCAACTTTTTTATTAAAAATCTTTTTTAGAAATGTAAATATTAAACAAAATAAAATCAAACTTAGTGATTAGAAATACCCGGATCCGTACTCGGTGCGAGCAAGTAGACTACGAGTAAGACTACGAGCACAAGCAAATCGAGATTTTCATTCACTGGTATACAAATTTTCATTTTTAAGACATCTCGAATGGACAAGAACCTACACAAAACGTCATTATGGCTATGACCATTCTCCAAAATGTAAAGTTTGTGAAGTGGCTACAAAAATGTTTGAGGAAAAATCAAAAAGTGTGATAGACTTGAATAAATTTTGGAATATTAAGGATTGCAAGAATAATTTTGTTAAGGATTTTTTAAATAAAGGATAAATTGTTTCAAATTTCAATAAAGATATTTGTCGTTCCCTCCTCCAATATACCCTTGGGCAGTCCATTTACTTAAAATTTGCGAGGTATAAACGATGACAGTAAAAAAAGGTAAATTAATCTGAGACTCAAATAAAGGTGGGATATTAATACAGTACCATACTTTCTATATAAAATTCAAACATGATGAAGATGTATTTAGGAAAATGTGGATTACTCAATAAGAATTTTTTTCCGTGGAATAGAAGATAACATCCCCATACTTCACTTTTCATATTTTGCGCCATGATTCCTTTTCCGAATATCCAAGTTCAATCTCATCTTTGAGGTGAACACTAATTTCTTAATTTTGCCTTGATCTTTAAAAATTCATAAAAAATTTGTATGTTGAGAAAAAATTTCAAATCTTTCAGAAAATGAAGAAGGCATCATTAAGAATATATGACGAAAAAATTAAATAGATTGGAGATCTGAACATTGAGATATAAAGTTTACAAAATACATGGTTTAAGGGGGGCTAATTATTTATGTTACACCCTAATATTTCTAACCGGAGCCGTATGAACATTGGTCGTTTACGAATATTGCTTAGACTCAAAATTTACATGATATGAGATTTACAAAATAGTATATTTAAAAAAGTCAAAATAAAAATTTGTTTTACTTGCGTTGCGTCGGATATGTCTTAATTTTTTGGAAGCCATATATTACTTTGGCTAAACTTTACTGTTTCTAATAGGGTTGTTCATGTTCGTTTAACCGAACCTATACCGAAAACCGGTGTTTTTTCAAATTAAACAAAATCGAAAACCGTGGATCGAAATCCGGTCATACCCGGCGGTACCGGTTAATAACCGGTAGTGAACAATCCTAGTTTTTAAGTCAATGATAATTAAAATGGATAATTAATATTTTAAATATCCCATCTAACTTGTCATTGAGTTGGATGTGGATTTAGTGGTTTTAGGGTTGGATCAGATATTAAACCTTAGTCATAATAAAAGTTAGCTATATTAATGTATAGCTTCCAAAAAATTAACCACGAAAATGCATGCTACAGCAAGTTCTAAATTTGTTCTAACTCTCAAGCATTTAATATATTAGCAAATTAAATATTAACTACGTTAATAAAACTAACAACCTACAACATTCTGGAACTTGACTGAAGAACCGGAAAGAAAAATTCTCGGTTCTCGACGTTAACGACTAGTATGCAAGCAACATCCTTTCACGATTATGAGAAATCTCCGGATATTCATTATTCAATCGAATGCCAAAATAAAACTTTACCTACAAATTTAGAATCCTAGACTGGGACAACAAACAACAAGCCGTGCTACAAAAGAATTTTTCAATTTACCCTAATCCGGCAACCATAATAGGGCACGATTACATCTTACACGATTACATTACACCTAACACGAGTACATCTGAGCATAAACACTAATTAAACTTATGTATGAAAAAAATAGCCCAAGTAATAATTCGACTTCCAAAAAATATATCATGGAGACGCTGCCAAGGATTATCTTATGAAATATTTTTGTCATTTGTTTTATAGTTTTTAATTATTGAATATCTTGGTTATTAAATATATTAGGGTAATACTCGTCCTAAACTATATCTCTTTTCCTTCTTCCATCTCTGATATAGAGAGAAAAATTGTCAAATTTCACAAAATAGTTATTTATCCTATCCACAAATTCTAAATATCCGGAAACATCGTTTTGCGGTATGGAATCGCAACCCTGCTAACTTTAAATATTAGCCACATTAATATACCTAAAAAAAATAAATGCGTAATTCATGCTATGTCAATGCCAAAGATTTATTCTTTCCATCCCTCAATTATTTAATATCTTTGAAAATTAAATATTAAGCAAATTTTGTAAGAAGACCAACTTCAAAATATCAAAAACATACCCTAAAAATCGAAAAGAAAAATCGTAGGCTGATTGATATCTTTGAATATTGTGCATGAATGGCGGCGCAAAAGTCACTGACCTGAAGATTCGATTAAGGAGTTATATTAAAATCTCTTTTCTTTTCTTATGGGTGAAAAAATTAATTGTAACCTAAAGCTTGTAATTGATATTAGCTATATTTACACAATAGCTTCCAAAAAATAAGTCGTCACATTCCACAACATCCAAATTCTTGATTTAGCCTACTCCTCAAGTATTTGTTATGATTGAAAATTAGATATTAACCAAATTTGCAAATCTAAAAACTTTCATGAACTATATATCATTTTTCTTACTGTAATTGAACATCCAGGTACATCGGTTATGTTCAGAACTGACAACGCTATTTGAAACTATCCCTAACAGAGCTGAATAAAGTAAAAAAGAAAGAAAATATCAGAAGATGCGCTAATCAGAAGATATACGTAAATGGAATTTCTGGTCTCTTTCTTTAATAAAGCCACCTCCCTCAATTTGTGACACCTATCCTTTTTCTCTATCCTCCACAATTCTGGAGGATTACTGAAAAACAAAGTCACATGATGCTGCATTTAAAAAAATAAAGTAAAACTAAAATTATACGATTGTTTCAAAGAAATTAATTATAAAAAAAATAAATACGAATTCCACCCTTGGATATTAGCCATATTGGCTTTTAAAAAATTTAAACAACTTTCTATCAGTTACAGACATAATTCTTAATTTAATCTACCACTCATGTAGTTGATATTTTTGAAAATTATATTTTGCGCAAACATAAAAACAAAATGCACGATTTTGTGAATCGGAAATTAATTACAAAAAAATCGTTGGGAATAGTAGGCTGCCAAATTTTCACTTTTACACTTTTCACTTTTCTCAATTTCTGGACTTACATTCTCTTGAATGCCAGACACTTCAAAACTTGATCGGCAAATTCTGCGCACTTCCAGGACCACTAGGCATTTCAGCCTCAAACTAGGCATTTCAGCTACGACCACTGGCACTCACAGTGTTCTTGATTGGTCACTACTAACTCAAAAGGTCCATGCGCACTAACTAACAATTCACTCAATTCACTTCCACTCATGCCGATTACTATTTACGACGTCTGTCCACTTAAAATCAAAACAATCACTTTCACTAATTGCCCAAAGCAATTTACTACACTTCGCCACACTTCACTTTTTGTCGACTGCGCCATTGTTATGAACCGAGGTGTCCGAGATTTAACTAATGTGTACGAGCACAACAATAACAATTTATCACATGTAGAAATGAACAATGAAGGCAAAGGGAATAGAACAGACGAAGGAGATCAGTGACTAGCCCCGCTAGTATGATCCAACTAGACTGACGATTTCCTGGCTTTTATACTAAACACTTTAAGGGCTAACGCCCATACACAACAAAGTGCCAATTTCTAAAACACTAAAATTCATAAACAAAAGTCAGAAATCTAAACAATTTTTAAATAGAATTCGACACAAAATTTCATAAACCAATGAATATTGGAATAATTAGAATAAACCGTGTTATAATAATTTAATTAATGATGAGACCCTATAATTTTATTATTTGGCAATTTAATTGAATTCTAAGGGCAAGGGAGCTGTTTCGAAATTTCGATTTTCTATATTTAATCAGCGATTTTAAGACACTCACAAGGCATAAATGTAAAAATAAATGTAAACAAACAACAAAAATTTAATTGACGAATTTTAATAAAAGTGCAATTGACTAAAAGTCAATTTTAAGGTCAACTCAGTGAAAAATAAATAAATAAAAGTTTATATAAAAACAAACTTTAAATACGTTTAAATATTTGTGTGTAATTCATTTAAGAAACCATCACTTATCCCTTCGGAACACAATAAAACATTAAACATTATTCAAACATCATTTCCTTCCCTTCATTATCCAAATTATCACTCCCCAACTTTCTCAGAATTTTTATTTCAACAATATTTTAACACAATATTTCACAATATTTAACGAATGGTTAAACATAAATAATTAAATTGAGATGTTCTCTTCCTATTTATATCCGAATTCCCTAATTATTATCTATGTAATTTACGATTTTTACTCTCTATTATCATTGATGTGACCGCCCTGGTAACCTTGTTTAAAATTTATTAAAAATACTAAATAAAATAGCCTTTTAAAATAGGTTTATAAGCGCGATTATTTCCTACAAAATACGAAAAAGAGTAATTAATGAAATTGAAATCCTCAAGTACAATAGCCATATCTGAGTTACTGGTCATTTTTCTTAATTTTTGCTTCTTATAAAAAGAATTTGCCGTAGCATAAAAGAGGAGAATATGGAGGATTTATCGTAAAAGAGGAGGAGCAAGATGTTTGTTTACTAAATTCCGACATAAAGTGCAAATCAATCTCATGCCTTTAATTGATTTAAATTTATTTAACTAAATTTCCCTTTGTGGCTCTATTAATAAGCATGATGCAATATTTTGACATTTAATTTTGAAATGCCGAGTGCAAGAGAATTTTAAGATGATAAATAAATATATTGAATATTCTTAAACTAATAATGTCAGCTATTGCTGCGTTGATAGAATTTTTTATCCGTCTTTCAGTTTAACTCCCATGATTTTAAATGCTTAACTTATCATTAGTTGTATCTGTTGAAATTTGAAATAGTGTTACACATGACTCTAGAATTGATACCTACACTTTTATTTTTCCCGTTTACGATAATCATTCTCAGAGACACTTATTTCTGAATAGTAGATTGCAGATTTATTTTTATAACAATATTATTTAATTACATATTTGGGAATGTTTAATTTTAAATAATTTTTATATTTAATTATTTTACAAATTCTCGGCTTGCATAATAGTGCATGTGTTGTGAATAAACCCAATTACATCCAGATCGGAAGTTTTACGCTGAGTTATTAGAAACAACTTTATGTGGGAGTGTTGTCTCGTTTTTCCATTTGTCAAAAAGAGAGTACACGGGGCATTTGATTTGCATTCCTTAAGTGCAGGCCGCGTTTTTCTATCAAGCGTGGCCATATGTATAAATGAAATCTCCCTCGACCATGTTTGCTTCTGAGAGTTACACGACTTACTCATAAAGCTTAAACTATTTTTTGATGTCTAGCATAGAAAACGAACCCATTGACTAGATCATTAGGTTTATTCGATTCATTTTTGGTACTTTAAAGTTTTTCGATTAAATGATTGTGACAAAAGTTCGTATAAATATCATTAAATAATTGTTACAATTAAACTGTTATGAACAATAAATCAGACTTTACATTAAATTTCTATTTATTTATAACTTTTCGTTTAAAATTTTTTGTTTTCCCTTCTTTGTAACTTCTCTTGCATATTTACAGCCACATGCATTACATAAATATTTCCCTGCTTCTGAATAACGGCGCCAACATTTTGTTTGTGTAACACCGCAGATAAAACATTTACGATCATCCTTAAATTAATTAATGAGAAGTTTGTTTTTATGTGAAGTTCCATTCAATGCTAATTTTAATGGTTAATTTAATAGAAATTAAAGTTCCTGGGTATTATGCGTTTA